GCGTATCAATATTTTTTTTTGTATTTTTTAATTAACGCTAGTGGATGTATATCCATACAAAAGTTACTTTCGTGTGCCTTATAATGTAATAATACTCCATAACAAAATCATCTTGTTATAGATCAGCTTTAATATTTGAAAATGTATTCTAATCATTTTTTTTACATAATTCTGATTTTACAAAGGTCAATGACCCAATGAAAACCCTCCCCTCCGAAATACAGGAACGCATTGTTGATAGATTGACTGGAAAGTCATCACATGCGATTGGTAATGAGAATATATCTTACATTTGGGACTTTGCTGGCCAACAGCTCTACTATAATACACACTTAGTAAGTAATCACATTATTTATGTGCCCTATTATTTTATTATAATGTAATAATCAGGATCTGAGGCGAATATTTATTGTGTAGTAAGTAATCATTTGTAATACCGAGCAAATTTTCTTGAATTTTGTCTTTAATAAATTATTAAGTGATTGTTCACATTTTCTTTTAGATATTTTTCACGAGCGAGGCGGTTTATATACTTTTGTTCAATTTGATGGAAAGTATGTACGCGAAGGGGAAGGGGAGAGTCTCTAAAATGGTAAATTTATATTTTTTTATGTCTGTTTTGTTGATTTGATAATCGTTAATTGTTGATTGTTAATTCACATTGTTATTATCAGGAGTGATATCAATCTAAATCCATTAAAAATATCTTGTAATTTTCTTTCTTCTCAGTCAGAATATGTGATGACGTGCGATATGACAAATATAGAGATTATCAAATATTGGATGAGATTGATATATACATACGCTGTCCCAGTTGTGTCACAACCGCAGCAGCATCTACAAGCTATGAAACCTCAAATTGTGGTAGTCGGTACACATGGTGAGAGCCTACAGGGAACATATGAAGAAAAGACTAACAAGGTATAAAATGTTATATGTGCTGTATTATATAGTCAACACCAAAAGCAAATCAAACATAGTGCAATAATTATTCTCATATTATTTTTTCTTCAGATTCAAGAACAGTACAGTATAATATTCGAAGAAATCAAAGGTACTCCGTATGAATGTCACGTGGTGAGGAAAATGTACGCCATCGACAACAAGTATCCATCACAAAACGATATGCTGCAAACACTTAAACAAGATGTTGGTGGATTTCTAAAATCAATGCCCAAAACGATTCCGCTTAAGTGGCTTGAATTCCAGCGTATATTGCAGGAGATTGGTAAAGACGTATTGCGAATGAGCTATGCTCAGGTACACATTAATTGAATCTGCATAGAAATGTTAATAAACTTCGAAAAGAGGTTGCTTTAATATTAACACCTCCTTTATCCTTTTCCGATAAATTATATTATCTTTATTTGTTGAAATTTATTTTACATTTCATTTCACGTATAGGTCTGTGAAGTTGCCAGTAAGTGTGGAATTTCAGTAAAGAGTCTAATCCATACTCTTAACTACCTACATGATCTTGGAATCATTTTGTACTTTGAAAACCACAGACTACTGAAGGATACAGTGATAACAAACCCACGGAAGCTGATTGACATCTTCAGGAAGATAATCACCGTGGTAGAACCTGATGATATTGACAAGGTGAGTTGGTGTCTGATAATATTCAAAGCAGGTTAATTATAATCTGTATATCTCTACTATTCTGGTTGTTCATTCACAGATTTTACTTTACCTTTATACACCTTTATCCCGTGTACTTCGATCTTCCTTTTATTAGTTTTTCTGCACAACACCCTATCTGATCGAATGGAAAGGTGCTTAACCCTTAATTTTTATAATATTTATAATGGCGCATTGAACATATTATCCTGAATAATTATTTTGCAAATAAAAGAAAAACGAAAATTATGACCTACCTTTGTATTCTAGCAGCCGCTATTTAGGAAATTTCCGACCAAATATTCTGGGTACTGATTGATGATCAGTTAGCAAAGTAAATGTATTACCATAAAAGGAATGAAAAGAACGGAACATAAGGAGGAAAAGGAAAGTATATACACGACCACCTACGAAATAGTATAAGGAAGAAAATTAGAAAGAAGGGAATGAAAGAAAAAAAAGAATTAAAAGAAAAGAAACAAGATAATTTAAGATTACAAACCCTTGCCCTGCTGTCGCGATATATCTTTGTTACCCACTGTTATATTATAGGCGTATAATATTACTGGCTATATGTAGCAGGAGAAATGTGGCCGAGCGGTAAAGATGCACATTTTGTGTTTAAAGATAATCGAATTTATGGGGTTCAAA